ACTTTTCAGATTTTAACCGATGAAATTAGCTTGAAAACAAACCTCATATACTCGTGTGCATCACATATAAAATAGATGTTTATGCAAACATTACATTGAGTAAATTAAGATTGTACAAATTTTAAATACTTACTTTTTGATACTTTAGTGTGTGAGGCTGAACACATTTACCCCAATGGCTTCATTATCGCAATTTGAGCATTCAAAATGAACGCATCCTAAAAGTGTGAATTTATCACAATACAAAAAATGAAGGAAGAAATGATCCCTCTTTTAGTTTTTCTCTTTTTTTAAAGATTTTTTTGGAGTGGGACTTTTGCCTTTATTTTGAAAGGGCAGTAGATAAGAGAAGGAACTAGAGTGGGGAACGACATCCGGGAAAGGAGTCTTAGGTTGGACTCGAACCTGGGCCACCCTCACTTGTCTGTATTTTAGTCATCAAAGGACATTAAAGAACCATCTAGGGACGGGACTTTCAAATTAGCTTAGGCTATAAATACTGTAGTGTGTGCATCAGTTGACTTGCTCCATACTTGTCCCTATAAAAAAAAATATATATATAATAAATGAATCAAAAAGTGTTACATAGAACCTGCTCCTTTAATTGTGTTTGTCCATCCTTGTTGAGATGGCTATTTTACTTGAATGAAAACCCTGGAAAGCTGGTTAAATGTTTGTTTCATCAAGTCAAGTTAAATCTGAAAAAAAGAAAATACACTTTGATTGGCTGCTTGTTGCCTTGGTGCTGAACTTTCTGACCCTTAACTTTGATGTTTCTCCAACAGATGAAGTTCTGCTGAGCCTTGTTAGATGTGAGAAATGTCCCGAGCTTTTGTGGAAGTTAGACATATTTACTTTTACATATGACTTGATAATATAGTTACCAAAAATAACAGACGTGATGTGCCGAGGCATCCTTGCAATTAGTTTTTGTTTGTTGTTCCTCCCCTGCTTCTCCCTCTCCCTCCTGTGTCAAAAGCTCCGCAGAATTTAACATCCTTTTAGTTGTGAATTCAGGAGGCTCATCTAGCAGAGACATTAGGGATTACCCTGAATGACCTAAACTGTGTCGTGAGCTGATATCTGTGCTCATTAAAACACCGTCGGCACCTCTGCTGTGGAGGTGAAGCATTTGGTTTAAAAAAAAAAAAAAAAAAAAAAAAGGCAGCCTGAATAAATTGCCCAAGTTGTAAAAATGAAAGCCCGTGCAATTCCTCAAGTGCAGCTGTTCCTGTGGTATGACTGTTACCATGCATTCACACAGTCTCATATTATGCAGATGGATGCAGCGGTGATATGATAGATCACAACTGAAGGCAGTGTGCAGAGTGTGAGCACTGTTGTGGCTGATTTGGACTCAATAATGGGGGGAGCGGTATCAGACAGGAATAGACAAGCTTATTAGAGTTAAGTGCCTTCTGTCATATTATGCTGCATACACTTAGCCCGTCAAGCACCGCGTGAAATTTGTTAAATTACCGCTGTAATCATCTCCGAGGAGGTCAATCACCTAGTCCATCAGGCTCACCATGGTTCAGGCTCCGCATGTGCAGCAATGTCGACGTTACATCAGGAGGGTTACAACACGGCAATAAAAGTGCTCATGAAGCTGTGACGCGTAATCACTGCTGCACCTTGAAACTTGATTGTAGTGTTTCAGCTTTCTCTGTAGAGCTGTATGACTCTGTATTCTGTCATTTTGTTAACAGGTTTTTTTCAGTACAGGGGTCAAGAGACTATATCTCTTCTCTTCACTGTGTTCTTCTTCCATAGAAAAGAAATAGCACAATTCATTTTGAACAAGGTGCATCGTTCAAAATTAATGTTCAAGTTCGCTTAGACTGAAAAACCAGCAGTTCAGATTGTGAGGTCGCATGCAGCCTTTTACAGAGTTTGACTTTGATCACAGTGTTGGTCCGTCTGTGTGCTAGACTCCCATTGTGTAGAAATAAAAAGACTGAAGTGAGATGAATAGGAGAATTTTTCTTATTTGACAAAAACAGGTTCCTGATTAACTTTCATTTTGTGGATATAATACACAGTAAAAAAAAAGTTAAATCATAATATATTGCGTCGTAACTCTCAGCACATACTGCAAAAATGTTTAGAATCACAATGATGTTGTATCGTGATGATATTGTGTCTTGGGGCCTTGCTCCTTCTTGCTCTTTCTCAAAAGTTTGTTGACAGACACTACTGCATCTAACAGAAAGACACCAGCTCCCTGGTGAAGACGATGAAGGTCACACACTCAATGAGCATATTTAAAAACATTGGATACGATTACATCCAAACTGAAATCTTCCGTACGGAGTAGAACACTTAAAATGAGACGAGCACCTCACAGTGTGTTCATGCCCTGAGGTGTGTTTTCACCCTCACTGCTTTCATGTGAACTGAAGTCTTTTCATATGGCATGATGCAACAGAATCTGAGATGACTAAATCAATTTGAAATGAGTCCAGGGGTGACATTAAAGTGAGCAGGGCGGGCAGTGACTGACAGCTTCAAAAGCATGGAGTATTGACTGATCGATTGACACAGAGTGCCAGCAAGCCTTTGGGGAAAAACACGGCACACAAAGTTAAAAAAAACAGAATCCATACTCAGATTTGATTTAGAGGTGATTGAATGCAAACACAGCAGGCTTTCAGACCTTTTTTTTTTTTTTACAGCCTCGGTGACATGGCATATTTTGTGCTTGCACCAGCGCTGCCAGAAACGTTTTTGAATTTTGGCAGCTCGTACTGACGGTGCAAAGTCCCTCTCTGAAAGTAAAGAGAACTCCATCAAACAGAGAACAAGAGGTGGCATCGGTCAACAAACATTGTATTTATCGTGTTTGCTGAAGTTATTCAGCCTGTCAGCTTGTTTTGGACACACGGCCGTGTCACTGCTGTTACTTTTTTTTGCCTTTTATTTTTTTACTTGCACTGAGCAGATTTCCCTGGGGCATCAATACCCAAGAAGACCAGGATTAAATTTCAACAAAGTGGATGCATTTTGCAACATCTCAGAGAGGAAGGCTTTATGACTAAGGCTCATAACAGCTGCTTTTCTGCATAAAAGTTCTGGCTAGAGTCGCGTTTATGAACCTCCACTTCATCATAATGTATCAACCAGCAAGACTCACAGAAATGTCAGCTCAGGGAGAGAGCTGAAAGATGGAGAAAGACAGAAAATACAGAAGGTACTTGGAGCTAATGTGTCTCCAGGCTACCATGACAGCTGGTTCGATGCGACTAAATTACAACCCACTTACTCAGAATATCGCTGACATGCAGAGGATTGTGGGAGAGGGAAGTAGGCAGTCACCTGGCTGCATGAGAGTTTGCATAATGTCTTAGCACATGAATCGGATCACAATAACAATGTTTACACATGCTTCATATTTCATATGCAAACAGTGTGGCGGTGTCGGCCTGTGTTGTCTGTGTTTGCCTGCAGCAGTGCTTCTGTTCGACCGAGTCCACAGCTCCATTAGGACGCAGACGAGATGATTGGAAGCTGTCTCGGTCTGATCTTCGGTGTGTAAACTGACTGTGACAGAGCCGTGTGCTGTGTTTATTCAGCGGGGCTGTGTGTCATTTTCTGTGAACCCTTTTCATCACTGCGGTGAAACATTGCACTGCAGTGGATTGGAATCCCCGCACTGTTTTTGATGACTTTCAGTTTGCAGAAAATGTGAAGTTCAACTCTAGAATTCAGTTCTTTAATATTTCCAACATTTTCAGACCAACGATTGATCTCTGCATGTTTTAAAATCTAAATGACATCTATGTTAGCATTAAAGCAACATTATATAACTTTTTCCTCTGAAAATAGTTGTACTTCTAGATCGACTTTGAAACTACTGCAAAGGGAATATAGCATGTGTTGCAGATCACCCCCGTCGCGTACTTATAGTAGTATCTGGTTCGATACTGTTTGATACAATGGCTGCAGCTTAAAGCTACGCTGAAGACTTTTTTATTTTATTATTATTATTAATTGTTGGCCTGTTAATCCTTTTAATGTCTTTATTTTAGAGATAGGACAGAGATATAGTCAGAAACAGGGGAGAGAGAAAGTGGCATATGACATGCGGGGAAAGGAGCCAATGGTCCGTCCTCTCTAAAGGACTTCAGTCTGTGTGGGGAGTGCTCATTAACCTCTAGGCTACCAGCACCCCAATGATAAAGACTTTTAATTCAATATTTCTAATTACATATCTTTTCATAAATAAGTCTTCAGAGTAATAACTCTGATGGTCAACTCTTGAAAATCCTTTTTTTTCCTCATTGTCCACTGCACAGCTCATACGTTGCACCTTTTGTACATTTTGTGTTTTTTATTTTTAATACTTTATCTTCTTATACTGTATTATTTAAGTTGTTGCTAGTTCTGCTTTATTTCCTTTGTTAACTGTTTTTGCACCAAAACACCAAGTCAAATTCCTTGTATGTGTAAATGTACTTGGCAATAAAACCCGATTCTGATTCTGATATTAGCAGTAGTTCTTGTTATTATCGACTAGGTGTTGGGTTCACATTACCAGGAAAAAAATCACAGTCGTCATCATGAACTCGCAGAGGTCAGTCTGCCATAGAGCTGTTTTTTATAGTGGTTCTGCAATTCTGTATGTCAACATGTGTAAAACACAGGACTCTGTAAGGTTACTCACACCTAACAACCGTCTCCAGGGACTAAAAGATGCTGCTAGGTGTCACTGTAATGGGCAGAAGGTCAGCCTTTTCAGATTGTTATTTTTTTTTTCCATTTGCGATCCTTGAAGGTCATCAATCCTTTCATGTTTTCAATCTTCAGTAACTGTGGAGCCGACTCAGCCAAAGCTCATTTTCTGATTGGAACAGAAAGAACATCCTTTATCTAGCTACAAGTCTGATGGAACAAAATGCTCGTGTCCACGAGATAAACCCAATGTGACTGTTTGAAATGAATAGAAAACACGACATGTAAATTCTTATTCCTCGTTCTCTCTGTTTTTTTTTTCTCTGCAGTATGAGTTCAAGGTGAAAAACATCAAGAAGAAAAAAGTCAACATAGTGGTGTCTGTGGACGGCGTGAAAGTCAACCTGAGGAAAAAGAAAAAAGTGAGTGACCTTTTTATGTTTTGTTTTTTAATTTGATCCTTTTTTGCAAATGAAGAAGCCCTCTCTTTGTGTGCAGGTAAGTTTAGTGGGAGTCATTTGAAATCAAAGACACAATGTACTGTGGTCCACAGCTGAAGGTCAAGTCAATGTCATGTAAAACACACAGCACAGCGTCTTTTATGACGCTTAACCTGACTCTTTTACTCCGTGAGAAAATGAGTTGCTTCTCCCTTTCAACACAGTTCAGGGGAGTTTTGCAGACACATGTTTCACAAAGTACATGTTGACTTCTCTGGGAAACATTCAGAACATGTTCTTGATCAATCAAAAAGAGTTGATCTGTGTCAAACTTGGGGATAGGATGAAACTGGAGTGGTCTTCTTTTTTTTTTTTTTTTTTACAGCACACGTGTCGAGTGGTGCATAAGAGCAAATGAATTGCAATCTAATCTACAGTAACTGATTCAATTATTTTAAATGTTGTCTTTTTACTGTGTAAAAAGTCTATATTTAAAAGTAGAGATGGGACGCATCCGATCTTATATCTGTATCTGGTCCTTTAGTGATGTCATTTACATATCAGATATTGGACTGTCTGCGCTGTCACAGATCAAGAAAGATTTTGGGCACTTGGAACATTCTCAGCTCGCACAGTCCGACTCTGAAGACATTTAGACTGAACTGTAAGAGGTGCATCATTTCAATAATTTGGTCATGAATTATTTTCAGCCAACCAAACAGCCTTCCTTATAAAAGCATGTGATTGCAGATATATGTTGATGTTCAGTTTGTCTTTTAAAAAAAAACATTAATTTCCTGTTTCCTGTCTGTAGAAGACGGTGGAAATCAATTAAAGGTTTTAATGAGTTGGCAGACAGAGGTGAGAATAGAGACATCAGCGAGGCGGACAGAGGGCCTGAGACAGATCGAAAGTGTGGGGGAAGAAGAACGTAGAAGTTTACAGAGGTGGATGTTAATGAGGATAGAGATGGGAGCGAGCTAAAAGAGGAGAAAAAAAGCCTGAAGAAACCTCGATGTGGGAGTAGACAGGAGACAAGAGCGTCTGTGTTTCAGGTGTGGTGAGGCTGACAGCTGTAATCCACAGAGGCAGACCCGAGTCGACTTCACTCCCTGAGAATCACAGAGAGGCTGACAGGCGGAAAACCAGTGAATGGGAACAAAGAGAAGCTCACTTAGAAGTGCCATCCACTCTCCTCACCAGTGTTCAGTTTTCCTTCCTCGCTCTTTCATCCAGGCTGGAACCCGCTGGCTTGTTTTTCACAGTTCCAGGCGGCTCTGCTGGACTGCGTCCTCTAAAGTTTGCTAAATATTTAATGCAACAGTTGTGACTGTCAGGCATCATTTAGGCTTTAAACTGTTGCTCTATCCATCCTGTGCACACTCATATTGAGTTGTAGCGAACTGGGAAAAGAATCTGCCTGTGAAAAGGTCAGCATGGAGAGATTTCCTCTGCTGAATTTTACTTTTCGGTTTCCTCTCAGAAGTATGTGTTTGTTTGTTTCCGTAAATAGGAAAAGGACGGACTCTCTCTAACTTTAATGTCTTTTATATGTTGATTGCTGCTGCTCACTTTGCAATGGACAGAATTTAAAATGATCAGCAGCGACAGTTTAATAATGCATCTATATGCTCTAAAGTGTAAATCGTCAAAATGGACACATCGGACATGTAGCTGCAGGAGCTGGGGAACGAACCCTTGACCTTCCAGTTGAGCTGCAGCTGTGGGTTTGACATGCAGACAGATTCTCGTAAAACAACCCTCCAAATGAGCTCCCCTCATGCTACTAAATGGTACATCTAAATAATGACTAACGATCAAAAAAAACAACCATTTAATCCTGCATCTATTTTCCCAGATATTTGTGCTGTTTATAAATCTGCAGCCAAGATTTTTTTTAAATGCTTGTAAATGCAAGAAGTAGTCATTTGTTGTAACTCTTTAAGATGCAGACATGTAGCCGTAAATCCTCAGTACAAACAAGCCTGTTGGCTAAAAGTGATCAATGAAAGAGAAGCAGTGAATCTACTGATTGTCACAGTGTTATGAATATCTCTTAGAATTTATGGTTTAAGATAATTATCTGTGTTGAAGAATTCTATTTGTTGAAGATTTGACTCACTAAACAGAAGAATCAGTCATTTGTTAACATCCGCACAAACTTGTCTCCATAAAAAAGGTTGAATTCTTGTGCTTTGTGTGTCTGTGTTGTTGCATGTGTGTATCAGAGGGAGCTGTAATGACCTTGACTTGTTCTTCGAGGCAGACGTACATCACAGATTAACATAAGTGTTTCATTACACGGAGCCTTAATGAAGTTCTCTAAATGATCCTGGAAGAACAAGTGTATCTATAACATTAGTATAAACACTCCCTTATGTCAGTGTGTGTGTGTGTGTGTGTGTGTCATGTGTACATTTACATATTTATCATATGACAACACAATGCATGAGATGGTATTTATGAAGAAATGTGAAAATCTGATGTTCAGTTTGTTGTAGGTGAGATGTAGAGTGTGAAGTGTAAAGTGCACGATACATGACATTTAGTGCTCCATCTTTAACTCACGTTTGATAGTAAAGAAGGGCAGCCTTATGTCTTGATTTCATCTCCAGTTATACAATACATAAATACAAAGAGGATTTCCATCCGTCCATTTTCTTCCACTTATCCGAGGTCGGGTCGCGGCGGCATCAGGGGCAGTAAGTCAACCCAGACTCCCCTCTCCCCAGCAACGTTTTCCAGCTCGTCCTGGGGGATTCCGAGGCGTTCCCAGGCTAGATGGGATACATAATCCCCTCCAGCGAACTCTGGGTCTACCTGGTCTCCACTCAGTTGGGCGTGCCCAGAGATCCTCCAAAGGGTCCAGGAGGCATCCTAATCAGATGCCCAAACCACTTCAACTGGCTCCTTTTCTATGCAAAGAGCATTCACACATCACATTTCCCCAGAGCCCCAAGTGACAACTTCAAATTACTTCTTTTGTCCCAAGAAACGCTGCAAATCATCACATTTACAAGCAAAAAAAAAAAAGAAACGTTTTGCAGATTTGTATTGTGTTGAAGGCAGCATTGTGTCATTTTTGTGCTCACAACATTTACAACAAGTCTTTTTGAACTTGCTTTTGATCCTATTTATCTGTCTCTTCAGGTCTAATAAGATCAGCTTCCTTTGGACCCTTTCTCGATCACAGCTCATTCAAATTTTAACCTCTTGGGCGACAGTTGTGTAGTGGTTTGTGAACATAATCCTCGGATCCAAATTGTATTATTTTTGGATCACCCTCCATAGTATAGCTCTTCCTCAGTGCATCTTCTTTTGGCCTCGCATCTGCAGCTGGGCTCCTGTGTGCACTGTCCTCATTGCACTTTATCACCCAATCATCCCCCCCCCCAAACAAAATAAATAATAATAATAATACAAATAAAATAACTTCTCGCTTCTCGAAAAATGCAAAATAAAATCCTGAAAAGTAAAGTCCTTTCATGTCATCTGTCTCAAGTCTAAGTCGAGTCTCAAGTAATAAAAGGCAACGTCTAAGTCAAGTCAAGTCTTTTATCCACAAATTTGCGACTCGAGTCAAGTCATGTGACTCGAGTCCCCCACCTCTGCCGTGTTCGGCTCCGACATGTCATCTCGCATGTCGTTTCCCACTCTATTCACTGTCCTATCACTTAAATAAAGGCATAAAAATGTAAAAACATATTAAAACCTCTTTTAAACTACTATCAGTAATATTTCTGAAAACAGTAGGCTTTATTATGAGCAGGATTTTTAATCTATTCTGTGGTTGAACAACAAACCAGACACAGGAAGATGTAATGAAAGTTACCAGATTGAACCTCCCCTCTGCGTTCTGCGTAGATATTGAAGAACATCATTGAAGGCTCAGTGTCGAGTTAATTGGCCGGCTGGAATGAAAGGTCGGTCAGTACGCGCGCATCGCCCCCACCTGTGTTCTCGTCTCGTTTGAATGTCAAGTGTGACCGTCAGAAATCTATTTACATCTCTTGAGTACGTCACAGGCGATGAAGGAGCAGAGATAGCACTGATTGAATGATTGAGCCAACAAAGCTCTACAGAGAACGAAATCAATGGGAATCATCTCCGTGTGCTCATGTGTTGACATTTTGTGACATTAAACCCCGAGGTGGATTCAATCAAACAGAGAGACGGGCAAAACCAAAGAAAACAAAGATCTCAAAAATGAAGATGCATTAGGCTACTTTCAAAATGAATTCTCTCTTAATTTATATCAAAGCAGGGGACAGATATATTCATTTAGTTTTTTTATGTTTGGATAAATGTTCAGCTGTCAAATCTACACTCTAAAAAGCGATCAGAAGCTATGAAAACCTTTTTAAAATAATCAATATTAGCATTAATCTGAACTTTTACATAGAAACTATGAGCAGCTTCCCCTTTTCTTAAGTGGGACACTTCATGTCTGTCACATCATCATCATGGTGTCAAACAGGAGCGGTCCCAAACCTTTTAGTTTGCATTAATTACATGCATCAAAGAAGTTACTTTGTAACATATTTTTAGGCTACAGCGCATTTGAATGTTTTCACAACAAGCCAGAATATAGAATAAATGCAATATGCACTGTATTTAAATGAAGAAAGAACTATTGAAAAACGCTTTCGCATTTAGCTTCAAAATATTTGGTCACGTCTCAAATAATTTTGAAAAAAAAATGACTTGGAGAGTTTCTGTTTTGGATCAATGTGTTTGTGTGTTCATGTGGCAAAACTAAAGACTCAATAATTATTCTTTAATCACTGGTTATGATACGTTGACCTTCATAACCTTTAAGCTTATATAGTACAGATATAAGGGATATGAAACATTTATAAAACTCTGAGAAATGACAATACGATAAGCACAAATAGCGACGCAGAGACTGATGGTTCAGCTCTGTTTTCCATCTTCCATTTGGAGTAAACAGACACTTTTGTTTTGTTTCATTTCCACAGAAGGAGTGGACGTGGGATGAGAGCAAGATGATGGTGATGCAGGATCCTATTTACAGGTAAGCTCCTGAAAATGTTAATTCACTACAGAACATTTTCATTGCTTCAGCCCAACTTGAAAGGCTAATCTATTCCTTTTATTAATTCACATTGAAGCTGCTCCTCTCGCTCCTCATGGCTCATTGGATCTTTTCCCAAACACTTTTTAATCCAAACTTGATTAAATAAACAGTGTCGGCTCAGGAAATGAGAATCTTTTGTCTCTGTCACTTCTGCTGGCTTTGGTACTTCGGAGAGGAAAAAAAGGATATTGTAGCTCATTTGAAAATTTGTTTGTCTGACTTGAGGACAGAGCAGCACAAAGATTTCAGAAAAATAAACGAGTTACTGGGAAGTTCTGATGCATAAACATGTTATGACATAGAAGACAAAGGCCATCCTGGTAGACCCTCAGAAACTCCATGCAGAGTTTAGACTTCTGCCAACAGGGAGGAGGTTCACTTCTGTTAAGAGGGCCAAATCGAACTGATATCTGACGTCCTTTGTCCCATCAGCAGTTGGGTTTCTAAATAAGCTGTAGCTGGCTGTTGGACTGTTGGTCTTTGATGCTTACAGCAGCCATCACTGCACGCTATATAGAAATGTTGGATGGTCCTCTGTCTGTGAGACGAGACTTGCATACGTACCTGTTCATTTATAAAGCTCTTATTAGGAGGCTACCTCCTCACATTTCCTCTGTTAGTCTGGTCCTCTGCAGTACATTACACACGGTCTAATGACTGGTTTACGCTCCAGGTTCCAGAGCTCATTCTGAGCTTGGTAGATCTGCTTTGCACTTCTTTGCACCATCAGCTTGGAATTCACTACAAAGCACTTTAAAGATCAATGCATTGGTTTCTTATGGCCATCTTAGATCCTTAATTATTAACTTCTTAACACCTGATTACACCTGTTTTAATTGATGTTGATGTGAACATTAGAGCCCGACCGATTAATTGGCCACCCGATTTTATCGCCCGATATTAGCATATCCAGTAGCTATTGGTATCGGCTAATTTTATCACAGATATGTGGCGATATTTCTAGATTTATTTACCAGTCAGCTTGTCATGATGTGAATCGTCTTCATGGACCTGTGGTGCAAAACCAAACGGTCCCTCTGGGACAATTAAGATTTTCCAATCCAATCCAATAGAAACATATGAAAAGGACGAGAGAATGGCTCTATGACTATGGTGAACAGATCATTTTAATATTGCATTTTGAAATAATTCAATTATGCAGGAATTTGAGTAAAGGCCTTTATGAAACACGAGTTTTAATGATGCATGTTTAAAACTGGTAAATACATTAAAGGTAAATCCTGAAATGTTAAACTGCTCTTATGAGTTTCACAATAATCACACACATTCTTCAAAATGGTCATACTTTATTCACCATTGTGCCACTTTATTCCCTTCGTTATTTACTTCAATCATTAAAAAACTATAGAAGATCCTCATCGTCATCTTTTCCCAACCGCTTGAACCCAAGATAGAGTCGACCCTGTATCTTTTTTTACTAAGCAGTACTATTCTCAAACAGAGCATATCAAGTTTAGGTGTCTGCTTGTTGTAGTAATAATGCAGTTCTACCAGAATCACAGTGAGATCTTTTCACCCACGTCTTTAAAGAAACTCTGAGTGTTTTCATAGCTGTAGCTCGGACTGATGCACCTCATTTACTCCAAATGGTTTCGATCAAAGCACTGTTACACCACCCTTCCTTATCCTCTGTGTTGGTGGAGGTACTTTGGTTTGGGTGTCGGGGGGAGGTGGGGGGGTCTCTGTCTGCTCCATAAAGTTGTAGATTCTTTCACACACCATCAGTTAGCGGTCTATTTAAAAGTGAAGGTCAAGGTTTGTCCTAGTCTCTCTTTGTCATACTTTTTAAGATGACAAATCTCAAATCTCCATCACAAAATAAAGATATTTGTTTCTGCTCTAAGGTGAGAGGCTAGTGCCTCACCCTCTCATTCTGCTATGCAAGTTCATGATGTGGACTAGAGCAGACAAACTACAGGTGTGAAAACTCCATTAGACCTCAAGAGGTGAGCAGTGTGAATCATGTGTGTCCATGAAGAAACATATCGAGAGGAGGGGACGTAGAGAACGAGCTGTCGAGTGAAATTTGGGAGGATTTATGGAAAACCAATAGGCTAGAAGTGTGAAGATTTCTTGCATTTCCAATTATCCCTGAGAATGTTTGTTTGTGTTAAGCTCGAGCTCAACTTGAAGATTACGAAAATTTAAAGCATGGAGCCATCTTGGCTGTTTGGGTTTCTAAGTAATGCAAGTGCGAGTTATTCTGGATAGTACTCAGACCTCTGTGTGTTATCGTTTTTGAAGGAGTTTACAGAGACTTTGTAAATGGACTATTTTTTATGTTGTGGAGTCTTTCAAATGCAGCTTTAAGGTGTGTAAGTGAGTTTCCTTTCCTCCATTTTCATTGGAAGTGTGTCTGACGCTTCAAAAGCAGATAACAGGAAACATAAAAAAACAAAACTGCATGACCGCTGTGTTCGTAATTTCATTGAAACGACCCTTTAAAGGTTTCCAGCTATGTTTCAGGGGAGGGTGTCTCTCAAAGTAAAAAGCTCTTTTCCATTTCCTCTCTCTCTCTCTCCTATTTGAGTTCTTCTTCTTTAGGAGAAGTGAGCACGCTATCAAATGGGAGTGGACAGTCCATTAGCTCAGAGCACGCAGGAACGCGATGCTGCTGAGACAGAGATTGTAGAGGACTGAATGAGGTTGTGAGAAACTTTATGGATGCTCGTGTGTGTATGTGTGTTCGCTAAATAAGTGTAGTGCTGTATTAGCATGACTACTGTGAAATGTCAAAGCCAGAATGTGTGTGTTTGTGTGTGTGTGTGTGTGTGTGTGTGTGTGTTTCAGGGCCTGTTTTCCATATCACATAATCAGGGTGTTTCAAAGACACACAAACATCAGATTGACTCTAATAGGCTGGGTGTGAACTTCTTCACAGAGTGGTTTGAAGTGGGAAAAGGGGGGCAGAGCCAAACACTTCTTACACAAACTGGTGGGTGGGAGCCGGGAGTGTGGGCTGCTTCTCAGAGGAAGACGGCAATTAACACAAGGAAGGGCAGGGGGATTTAGAACCAGAGACGTACGTATATACATACACTCACACAGTACATGCACTTTCAATGCAAAACAATGTGTCTCTGATACATGCCAACAAAGAAAATCTGCAAGACCAGAGGAAATGTTCATCAGCCCTTTTTTTTTTTTTTTTACAAATGACCTCCTGAAAAAGTCTAGAGAATTTCCGGACTGCCCCTAAAATCCTCCTTATCTGGCTGTTCACATATGCACCGCACAGTGGAAGACTGTTGGATGGGAGTGGGAGTGGAGGTCTCCTGAGGCTAGACATGATGTAAGAAGAACAACAAGGAAGTGGTGGACGAAGCAGCAGAGTCCGCTATACGATGCTATAATGAGAATATTTGCCTTCATATAAATGCTTTGTGTCGTTCAACAGAATCACAACGTCAACAAAAGAGCGGAGAAGAACACAATGGGGATCAGAAAACTATAATGCAGCAGTTTAGTTATGTGCAGACAATCCATTGCTGTGCGCTTACAACAGAGAATAGACGTCACCCACCCCCCCCGTCCCACTCGCTCGAGGTGAATTCTCCTGATTATATCCGGCTGCGTTCTCACATCAGCTCACTCAGACATAACGCAGACATTCTACTTGGCAGGAGAAACTCCAGATGAAGCCATGAGTGAGAAATGAATCTGTTTGCGCTCAGCCCCGAAACTTCAGAGTTTGTCAGGAATTCTGTGCAAATGTGGAAGCAGCTATACAGTCCAGTTAGTGTAAGGAGAGACTGATAACTCTCATACCGCAGGCTGCAAGGAAATATGTTACATCAGTCTGAGATACGCTCATACAGCTTCATTCTGATTCGTAGTTTTAAAGATTTATTTCTGGGGTTTTTGTGCATTTATTGGGGAGATAGGACAGTGGATAGAGTCAGAAATCAGGGAGAGAGAGAGAGAGAAGGGAATCACATTCAGGAAAGGAGCCGCTGTGGGATTTGAACCTGGGTCACCCGCCTGGAGAAGCAAAGCCTCCATACATGGGGTGCACCAACCACTGCGCCACCAGCGCCCCCATAGTGGACTTTTGATGAATTATAACACTCTAGTTCAAATGAAAACATTATTGGCACTTTATCTGAATTACTTTTTTAATATTAAAGCTTTAGTGCTATTTTGTTTACACTTTTTGATTATTATCTTGAAGTTAGGAGACATTTTTCTATTTAGCTCTGCTTGGTACCAGAATATCTCGAAGCCCAGTTCAGTTATTCGATTTCAGCTACTGTGCAGCTGTCATTCTATCAATGGTATGGACTCTACAACCCAATGCAGATTTGTTAGAGCAATGAGTAACTCTTTGTTAGGTGTTTCCACAAGTTCAGACAAACACATAACTTTTAAAGTTCTTGTTTTTAATATGGAGTCTGGATTGACGATGTCTGATGCAGTCGCAGGATGTCTGGAGAATCTCAATGCTCATAAAGTTTCATGACAAAGTATCATGCCAACTTCTTTCTCAGTTTAAAACTTAATAAACTCACACATCTAAATGCACACTATTCCCGTAGTTACACCAACTTGTATATAACTGTGCAATGTTTAGAATTGCTATTTCTTATTGGCTGGGGGCTACACACCCACAGGTTGATATGGCATGTTGTTTTGTAGAAAACAAAGTTGCTCTCTAGCTTCTTTTGTCATCTGCTGCAATGATTACCATCTGCTTTACCGTGCCATCTGTTCAGCATGGGACAAAGTGAGTTACGAAACACCGGGGAGGGAGGGAGGGTTTAGCAAAGGGGAGATCCAAAAGGCTGATTTATCTCTTAATGTATGCAAACAAACCAGGGGGACTCTTTGATTTACTGGGACCAAATGTGAACTTTATTATTGTTTATACTCGTATCATTTATGAAGAGGGGATTTCTCTGTTCCCTTTGTTTCTCTCG